CGGGCCCCGACTGTCTCTGGTCCAGGGTTTTTATAGAGACGCCAAGGGGTGGAGCAAAAGACCTCCTCCCCCAGCACAGCCAAGTGCAGGCCATCTCAGACACCTGCACTCAGGCCCGTGGTCCTGATCATCCTCTATTCGGACCTGCTGGGTAAAGCCACGAGGAACCCCAGAACGGGCTCCCACAAGACACTCAGGGTCTAATACTTCTTCCTACATGTATCTCCATTGTTCCCATTAGTTCAGTCCACCAACCAACAGTTACCCAGAATCCACTGAGTGCTAGGCATTGTGGTTGGGCCCAAGAGCTCTGTGCCCAGGGGCTCATGAGACAACAATGTCTGGTCTGCCTCCAATTTGCTTTTAGGCCCTCCCTCACCATTTTCCAGCCTCAGTTTTCCCATCTTGAACACTATCACTTGATGGTTCTAAAAAGCTACACTAGACGTTGCCCAAAGTCTCTTCAAACCCTGTTCCTATCCTTTTCTTCCTGATCTTGGGCAAACACTTGAGGTTGGATGAGGGGTCACTAGCAACAAATATAGTTATGGGGTGAGAAGGAAGCAGCTGACAAAATGGAGCTCTTCTTGCTTACAGAGGAAGCCCCTTCTCCCTCCCTTCCTGGTTACCTCTGTAGACAAAACATGGAAGAATCTCACAGACAATCCCTTCTTTCTGGCCAAAGAGTCCCTGAACACTTGCCACCAACACAGCTCCAGGGGGTTCCATTCACACCAGACTCAAGTAAAGGCTACCCAGGTTGCTAGGTGGCCAGATGTGGCTTCCAGGTCCTTGACATCAGAGGGCAAGCCCCAGAGCTTTTGACTTGGGAGCAGGAAGTCAGAAGAGGGATGTGGAGGTAGCCTGGGCAGGTGGTAAGAACAGGCGTCTGCAACTCAGAGCACAGAGAGCACAATTTGGCGCCAGCTGTTTGAGTCCTGTCGAGACTGTCTTGGCTGCTAATGAAGACAATGCTAGGAAGAGGGTCACAGTGCTGGCTGAGCATGAGGGAAAAATCAGTTCAGACAGCCTGCTTTAGATTTAATTGTTTCATTTCAAAGGTCCGTCTGGTTGCTGGGCTAGAGACCATGTGGGTGGACCTGGCTGGGGTGGGGGTGGGGGAGCTGTGACAGAACAGGCTTTGATTGGATTATCACATCTCCAAGTACTCAGGGCAGCAAACAACAGATCCTATGTCCCCTGCATCACTGCTCCTGGCCCATACAGAAAACCTTCAGTCAATTTAATGAAAGTCTGCAGCCCAAAAATCCCAGAGTGAGACTGTGGCTGAATGTCTGGCTCAATACTAATTTCCATTAGCCGGGTGCCCTAAGTAGGGGCAAAAGACGGAGGGATTCAATGTAGCATTATGGGGTTCAGCTGAGGCTTCACCGTGGTTCTGGATTTTTCCAGTAACACATCAGGAATATCACCTTTCTTTCTTCACCAGATGGTCTTTCCCCATAAATGGAGCATTGGGGGAGTAGTTAGCCCTCTCATTTTTCTCACGATTACTACAGTGAGGACACACATACTTCCTAAGTTGGTAATTTCTGGGGTTTGTTTTTCTGAGGTCGAGTCTCATGTGCCTAGACTGGCCTTGAACTCCCTATGTAGCTGAGGGTGGCCTAGAACTGATCTTCCTATCTCCACCTTGAGAGTGCTAGGATTATAGGTCTATGTCTTACACTCCGTTTTTCTCTTCCCTTCCCCCATCCCTTCAACTCTATTTTAAGAGACTAGAAAGAAAAACTTTACATGGATAGATATGCGTCCCCTCCCTTGCTTCTACAGCCTCACTCCCCATCAGATATTGCCCTGCATAATCTGGCTGCCCATTGCCCCCTCCCAGCAGGCCCATGTATAGTCAGTCTTAGAACCCTGAAGCCAGGCGCAGAGGGTACCTGATCATCCCTGTTAGAATTCTGCCCTCACTCCAGCTACATGACCACACAGGCGCAGGTCAGGAGTTAAGCAAAGGGTCTTGCGTCTTACATGTGGCGTGGTCACACAATCAGCACATGAGTGGTGTAGCTCCATAAGCTCGCTTCACTGGGAGCCCTTAAAAAGCCAGACGCAGACCCTACCCTCTCTCTCTCTCTCCCTCTCTCTCCCCCCCCTTTCTTCTCTCTCCCCCCACCTCACTATCCACAGTGATCTCCCACTCCCTTCCTCCTAATAAAACTCTGAACTAATACTGGGTTCTGTCATGACCGTGACTTTCCACAGGGTAACCAGCGCCGTTTGTCATTCATTTCAATCCCACCTTGCTCTTTTCCCTGAACCTAACAATGCTGTGCTTCGCTGGTGCCATTTCCCTCTCTGGGTCTCCAGAACTCCCTCCCCTGAGGAATGAAAGTCTCGCAAAATTCTTGGACCACAATGGTCCCTCCTAAAATATCTCTTTGAAATTTTTTGAAGAACTCACAGATGAGACTACTCCACAACGGTCATTTCTGTATCTCAAACAGATACTGCAGCTGAAAATAATGTACATAAATTTTGTGATGTCCTATCTCAAAAGACAAATGAATTTAAAACTCCCACATTGCCCACCTTGCTCTCCAACTACCTCGCTTGCTTCCTTCCTCTAATATACACATTTCTTTGTATCAATTGTCTCCACTCCTCTGTCTCACAGGTCCACTAGATTTGCATCAGTATTACTATTACTCACCACCACCCAACCACCCCACCGTCACTCCCACATCACCACCCCCTATCACCTAGTCACTCCGCCACCCCATGTGAGGATCATCAGTGACCTCCAGATCACTAAATGCCAAAGGCGTATGTCAGTCTTTATCTTTGCTGATCTTTTAGTGGCATTTGGCATAGTTGGCTCTTTTCTGCTTCCTGGAAGTCTTACCGGCCAGATTTGAAGGCTGACTTCCTTGTGCCTTCCTCATATCACACTCACACTCACCCATTTTATACTCTCCCCAACCACCCCAGTGATCCATTGATTCTTCTGCCTCTCCCGAGATCTTTAATCACATCACCTGAATTCTATATGCTGGTGACTCACAAGCACTGAGTAACTGGCATGGCTCTCTCCAATGGCAGATCCTTGTGTGGAAGGCATGTGTTCTACAGTGTTATATGGCACCTCAGATTCAACCTTTCCCCCAGGAAAGTCTGCCTCTCCTCAGTGTTCTCATCTAATGAGTACTCACCAGTCGTCAGTCATCCCAAAAGGTAGGCCTCTAGATTCCTACCTTCTTCAAAATCAACCCCATCTTGTTAGATGCTGAACTTGGCTTCCAATATATGCTTTTTCTCCAAGCCCCCAATTCACTCTATCCCTGAACCTGTGGTCCTCACCCAAGTCCCTGGCTCATCCAAATTGTTTTGTTTTTTCTGGGTTTTGGGGGGAGAGTTGTTTGTTTGTTTCTTAAGACAAGGTTTCTCTGTGTAACTTTGGCTGTCCCAGAACTCACACTGTAGACCAGGCTGGCCTTGAACTCAGAGAGATCCATCTGCCTCTGCCTCCCAAATTCTGGGATTAAAGGCGTGTGCCACCACCTTGTAGTCATCCACGTTTTATTAGTTCCTCTTCTTGTTGCTGTAACCAAATACCTGACAAAGGAAAGTTAGGAAGGATTTGTTTTGGCTCACAATTGAAGGAACAATCCATCACATTGGGTAAGGTCTAGACACAAGCTAGACACAAGCGTAGCTCTAGCCATGGTGGGAGTAGCATAAGACAGTGATCACACTACCTCCTCATGAAGCAGAGAGAGATGAGCACCTACTTTTCCCCCCTGCAATCAGTCCTGGACCCTAGTCCATGGGATGGAATTCCTTATATTCAGGCTGTGTTTTCTCTAGTTAAACATTCCACAATATGCCCAAAAGTGTATCTGCTGGGTGATTCCAAATCCAGTTAAGTTGACAATGAAGAGTAAGCCACCATAGTCTTCCTCAAATTCAAAATGATCATCTCTTAAAAAACCTAGTGATCATGTCTGAACTTGGGAGCTGCCCAAAGCCTCCCAAGTAGAGGCTAGTTTTGTCTGCAGTCTCAAGGCTTTTACCTGTCCCTCCACCCTCTCCATCCTGCTCTCCATCTTAACCTCGAACTGAGTCTGGGTTTTATTTCTCTTTCTGAATCTTCTCCTTGTGCTCTCTGCCTAAATCCTATTAATCCTTTAAGTTGACTGACATGTGTCTTTCCCTAGGGAACCATCTTCCCCTTAACTGATCCCAGGATCTGAGTCAGATCTCCCTCCGATAGTCTATAAAATACTGATGTCTCATTAAATTCTCTTAATATTCCCCTTTGAGGACCTTGAAAATGTGCAGAAGCTTACCATCAGCAAAATGAACCATATCCCTGTTTACACAGAGCAGGAAACAGACACTGAAACAGCAAAGACCAGGAACACGGCAGACACCTGTAAGTTCAGCAGGAGGACCAAAAGTTTGAATTCAGCCTGGGCTAAACAGAGAGTTTAAGGCCAATGTATGCTGTACAGTGAGGTCCTGTTTGAAAGAAAGGAGAAAGAAGGAGGAAGGAGAGGAGGAAGGGACAAAGAAAGGCAGACAGGCAGAGAGGGAGAGAGGGAAGGAGGGAAGGAGGGAGGGAGGAAAGAAGAGACGTGATAAGAGAGAAGGAAGAGAAAAAGAAAGGGAGGAGGGTAAGAAAGGGAGGGACAGAGAGAGGAACAATGTAAGAGGGCAAGAAGAAAAAAGAAAAAGAGTGAGGACAGGAAGACAGAGAAGGAGGAAAAGGAGGAAGAGATGAAGAGAAAGGAGGCAACAGACAATGAAAGAAAATAAAGCCACAAAGACCATAAATGTATCAGCCTATAATGTGCCAGCCAGTAAGGCAAGGCCTTCTGTGGTGGCTTGAAAGAACATGGCCCCCAAAGGGAGTGACACTATTAGGAGGTGTGACCTTGTTGGAGGAAATGTGTCATTGTGGAGGCAGGCCTTGAGGTCTCATACATGCTTAAGCCACGCCCAGTGGGACAGTCCACTTCCTGTTGCTTTCTGATCAAGATGTCTGCCTGCACACTGCCATGTCCCGCCATGATAATAGACTAAACCTCTGAAAATGTAAGCCACCCCAATTAAATGTTTTTCCCTTAAAAGATCTGCCGTTAGCCAGGTAGTGGTGGCACATGCCTTTAATCCCAGCACTAGGGAAGCAGAGACAGTCAGATCTCTGAGAGTTCAAGGCTAGCCCCGATTACAGAGTGAGTTCCAGGACAACTAAGGCTAAACAGAGAAAGCCTGTCTTAAAAAAAAAAAAAAGAGTTGCCATCGTCATGGTGTCTCTTCACAGCAATAGAACCCTTACTAAGAACACCTTTCCCCAGCTTGTTGGGGCTTACTTCTATTACCGGTGTTCTCTAACATAGAATTCCTAGTGATAACATCCTTCTAGAATACTGTGCCAGAGGGAAACAATTTGCTTTATCTGAACACTTGTTTCTTTCCATTAGACAAAGACACTAAAACCCTGTCACACTGACTTTTTCTTTTGCTTACCAGCCAGGCCAGAGCCAGGTCTAGACCTCCATCATAGGCAATAGATTTCTAGCTTCTGCATACATCTCCTTTTTTCCACAGGGTCGTGGGTTCGTGCCCCATGTTGGGTGCCAGATATTGGTGAAATTATTATGGCCACTCCATGTAGTTAAAAGAAAGATTTATTTAGTGGGTAACTAACAAAAAAGAGAAAGGTAGGTTGTGGGGTCTGGGGAAGGTGTATCGAAGTCCAGCAGTGTTCTCTGGAGCTCTGCTCGGTCCACCTCCACCATCTAGTGTCCTGAAACAGAGAGAGCGCGCGCTCGCCCATCCAGCTCTCGGGTCTCCAGGCGCCTCCCCTGGCCCTGCCTCGTAGGCGTGACAGTTGCCAGAGTCTCAATGGGGGTTGGAACTTCCAGATCCAAGCTGGAATGGCTACCCACTACACCATATACTTTTTTTTGTCTTTATTTTCTGTGTCCCTATATCCCTAACACATAAACTTCATTGTAACTTTATGCCTGTGCCTCATGGAAGCAGATAGCATGCATGGTCCACCCAGAACCCAGCAAGAGCCAGCACATTTATCCTATCTGCTGTCTTCTCACCATACTGAAACTGAAGTTTCCTTCTGCACCACCCATGACCCTGACAGAGTTCAAAGACATAAGCACTATGTCTGGCCAAGATGCTCCTGGGCAGGTCCACATAGCTGCATCCCACCCTTCCTGCATAGCAATTGTGCTAATTAAAAGACAAGCTTTCCCATGCCGTAAAGAGCAAAATAAGAGAAGGAAACTCTTGTAAAGGACAGGCCAGTTGGGCAGAGGATCAGGGCAGGGAGTCCTAGCAGCCACTTATAATATTTGGTCTCTCTTTCCTTTATCACATTCCCAGCAAAAGGATGAGGCAACTGGCATTTAGAACATACCAGAGAAGCCTCTTAATGCCTTCCAGGATTAGTCTTACCACAGGGGATCACACTAAAGAGGCTATAGGTAAAGTTCAGAGAATTGCACTAACTAGCACTCTATCTGACATGCTACATGACCTGCTGACACCATGTGCTGTTCTGCAGCCAAATATCTCAATGGCATTTGGTGGGTACATTCTTGGAACTTCTAGAGTATACAGCTGTCAGTAAGCAGTTGTTGATCTCAATTAGATAGTGGTAGTATCTGAATAGAGTCTCTTACAAGCAAATGATACCTTAAAAAATGATGCAACATGTTTATGGTTCTATAAACCAGCACTCATAGTGGCCCTGGAATACTGGCAGAGTATACACCATCCCAATCTTACAGACAAGGAAATTGAGGCTCTAGGAGGCCAAGTGACTTGATCAAGATGGAAACTTGGGACTTCTTTCTAAGAGCAGAGAAAATATCTAGTTTGAACCCTTGCAATGCCTGTATCACTGCCTTGTGCCAAAGTGGCTTTGTTGTACCCATTTCAAGAAACCCCCAGAGACCACCAAGGAGCCAGTTTCCAATACAAGCACATAAGGGTTCTTTTATTGTCAGGTTTGGACCTGGGCCATCACGCAGCAGATGGAGGGAAATGTGGCAGCAGAGGCAGGCCCAGGGATAGAGAGTTTTTATAGGAAATAACCAGAAGCTGGGAATTACATGCTTTGGCATCTTGGGATTGGGTAGAAGGGATATGGGGCAAGATGACTTTTTGAAACTATTGTGTTGGACTTTTTGGCAGAGAACCACAACTTACTGGGCAGGATAATCTGGATTGCTCAACAGGATTATCAAAATATCTTCAAGGGCCATAAACTGCAGACAGAATGTCTGCAGGAGCATACTGCTCTGTATCTGTTTGAGTTGCCATGGCACATTCCTGGGGTCTTTTCTAGAACTGAGTACAGCAGGTGGTCTAAGATGGTGGCCCTACCCTAAGATGGAGTCTGTATTGCCTTCACAACTTATGCTCATGAGTGTTTAGAGACAAAGGACTCACACTCCACACTCCTTACCCTAGCCTTATTGTGGCTGCTGATGGCCAAAACTGCCACACCCCCAAAACACACCAGTGGTGGAATGCACTCTCCAACTTTGGCATCACTTGCCTGGTCATTACCATACATGCATGTGTCATCCACAGAATTGGGGTGAAAAGTCACCCTCCAGATGTCCCATCACATTTGCAACTGGAGGCAGATGCAGGGTCACACATCACAAGAATTGGCAGGTACTTTACAGATCTTCAAGGGCTCCACTTGGTGCCTGTTCCTGGATGGCAAAGTGCTTTGTCAATACCCATTTGAGCAGCAGCACTAGGGATTATCCTATCCTTTGCACTTTTTCATGGTAATGACCCTCTGCCCCAATACATCCCTGGTGTCTTAGTCAGTGTTCTATTGCTATGAAAAAAAATCATAACTACAGCAACACTTATAAAAGGAAGTGTTGTTTGTTTTTGCTCTTTTGGGGTGCCTACCACCCAGTTCCCAAATAAATCACACACAGAGGCTTATTCTTAATTATGAATGCCCGGACTTAGCTTGACTTATTTCTGGTCAGCTTTCCTTAACTTAAATTATCCCATCTACCTTTTGTCTCTGGGCTTTTCCCTTTCTATTCCTGTTTACTTTTCTTTGTTTTTTTACTCTGTTGCTGATTATGTAGCTGAGTGGCTGGCCCCTGATGTCCTCCTCCTCTGACTACTTTTTTCTCCTTTTCTTGCTTCTTCTGCTATATATTCTCTCTGCCTGCCAGCCCTGCCTATCCTTTCTCCTGCCTTGCTATTGGCCATTCAATTATATATTAGACCATCAGGTGTTTTAGACAGGCAAAGTAACACAGCTTTTAAAAGTTAAGTAAGACAGCATAAACAAAAGTAGCACACCTTAAAATAATATTCTACAACAAGGAAGCACTTACTTGGGGGCTTGCTTACAGTTTCAGGGGATCAGTCCATTATCTCATGGCAGGGAGCATGGTGGCACACATGCATTGGAGCAGGAACTGAGAGCTGTACCTTGATCTGAAGGCAGAGAGAAAAAGAGAGAGAGACTGGGTCTGGTATAAGCTTTTGAAACCTCAAAGTCTACCCCCAGTTATAGTTGGACTTTCTTTTGGGACCACCAGCTCCCAAATAATGGCACAGAGACTGAAAAGTTTGGCCTTTAGCTTAGGCTTGTTCCCAACTAGCTCTTATAACTTAAATTAACCTGCTTCTATTAATCTACATTCTGCCATGTGGCTTTTTACCTCTCCTTCATTCTGTATGTCCAACTCCCTCTGTGCCTTGCTGGCATCTCCTGCCACACCAGATTCTAACCCTGTGTTTCTCCCTCTCCCCCAAAGTCCTGCCTATTTTCTCCTGCCTAGCTATTGGCCATTCAGCTGTTTATTAAACCAAACAGAAGGCACTTTAGGCAGAGACACATCTTTACAGTATACAAAAAGATTATCCACAACATCTAGTGATTGACATCCATCTTTTCAAACAGTTCCATTCTCTGGTGACTAAGCATTCAAATACAAGAGCCTATGGGGGCCATTCTTATTCAAACAATCACATTCCATTCCTGGCACCCATAGACTTGTAGCCACATCATAACACACAAAGTGTTTAGTTCAACTTCAAAAGTTCAACCCAAAGTCTTTCATAGTCTCAGTCTCAATACTATTTAAAAGTCCAAAGTCTCTTCTGGGACTCATGGCAATCTCTTAATTGCAACTCCCTATAAAATCAAAATCAAAAAGCAGATCATATACTTCCAACATACATTGGCACATAATATACATTACCATTCCAAAATGGAGAAAAGGAAGCATAATGAGAAAATATTGGACCAAAGTAGGGATGAAATCCAGCATGGCAAACTTTAAATTCTGTATCTCCATGTCTGATGTCAAAGAGCTCTTCAGAGCTCTGACTCTGTGGTAGTTTGAATAAGAATGGTGACTAATACTTAGTCACCAGAGAGTGGAACTGTTTGAAAGGGTTAAAAGGATTAGGAGGTATGGCCTTGTTGGAAGAAGTGTGTAACTGGGGGCAAGCTTTGAGGTTTCAAAAGCTCATGCCATGCCCAGTGTGTCTGTCTGTCTGTCTGTCTGTCTGTCTGTCTGTCTGTCTGTCTCTCTCTCCCTCCAGATGAGGATGTATCTCTCAGCTACTACTCCAATGCATGTGTGCCACCGTGCCTCCTGCTATGATGATAATGGACTGATCCTCTAAAACTGCAAGCAAGCCTCAATTAAACACTTTCTTTTATAAGAGTTGCCTTGGTCACAGTCTCTTTTACAGCAATAGAACACTAAGACAGAAATTTGTACCAAGAACTGGTATACTTCTATAACAGGCCTGACCATGCTGCTTGTTGGAGGAATGTGGGCTTGGGGGCTTTGGACTAGGAGAGCAGTTGAATGCTTTAAGTAGGGTTTAATGGGCTATAGTAGTAGGAAATAGATAAAAGATAACAGTTTTGGGAACAATATAAATTATGACAGCATGGCTCAAGAGGATCCAGAGAGGAAGAATATTAGCAGCCAGTATAGAAATTGGTTTTGTGATATTTTAACAATGAACATGACTGCTTTTTACCCTTGTTCTAAAAATCTGCCTGAGGCTAAATTGAAATTTTGGATTAATGACATTTGTAGAGGAGATTTCAAGACAGCCTAGTATTGACTATATCTGGTAGTTATTAGTTACACAGATCTATAATGACGAAAAGAAATACAAAATGTACAGTGTGAGGAGAAAAAGAACATGAGGAAGGGTTACTTTGGAGCCAAGTCCTGTGCTCAAGGAGATAAAAAGTTTAAAGAAAAGCCTGATGCTAAATGGAATAAAGGGTGTGGTAACCTCAGGGCAAGACCCTATGCAATTACACTTCCAACTTATGTAAAAGAATTAAAGAAAAGTTTAAGCAGTGAAGGAAACCATCAACAACAAAAAGCTAATGCCAATGTAAATGAATGAGGGGGCCAAGTTGCAGGCTCACCAAGCAGCAAAAGGAGGCTGCTATGGAATAATCCTTTTGTATACTATAAAGATTTGTCACTCCAATTGGTTTAATAAAAAGTTGACTGGCCAGTAGCAAAGCAGGAAGTATAGGCAGGACAACTGAACTAAGGATGCTGGGATGGAAAAAGGGCAGAGTCAGAGGAGGCAGAATCAGAGGAGAGACCAGCAGACACAGAGGAAGCAAGATGTGTAGAAAATGAGGTAACAAGTCATGAGCCATGTGGCAGAGGATAGATAAGAAATATGGGTTAATTTAAATGTAAGAGTTAGTTAGTAACAAGCCTGAGCTATTGGCTGAGCATTTACAACTAATATTAAGCCACTGCGTGGTTATTTGGGAGCTACTGCTGGCACAGGAAAACTGCCTACAGGTGGCAGCTTAAGGCATGTAGTTCTGGCTTTAGAGTCAAGAAAAAAAGAAAGAGATTGAGGAATCTCCCTCCTCGCCTAAGGAAAACCACACTGTGTGTGTCAGGGGTGTCCTTCACAGGTGTGTGACGCTGTGATAGTGAAGCCCCCAAGATATTGGAGATGCCAGAGTTGTGAGGTACCTTCCGAGAAGAGCAGCAGACCTGGAGCACAGGATCTATGTAACAGTGATTCTGATAATTCCCACTCCCTAGTGACTAAACATTCAGAGAGACAGCCTATGAAAGCCATTCTTATTTAAACCACTACACCTAACCACTGTACTGTCCCTAAAAACTGCAGATTGGGTGGGACCATAATGAGGTGAGGCTGCTGTAAGAGGCAAACAGGAGACACATTCCACAGCATCATTTTCACTCCACTACCCTGGAAGGTTAAAAACATCTGTGTCATATATATTTAACACCCCACTCTCTACCAGCTAGTAATACCATTCTGCTGTTCCCTTGGGAAAACCATCTTTCCCCATTTTAGTTATGATTTGTTTGGCTTTTGTGAATACTTCTACCTCTTTAACATAAGGCTGGACATGTGACACAGACTAACCAATCAGAACACTCCATATCTTCCATTATCACCATTGTTTTTGAGAAAGTCATATGGATTAATCTGGGCTAATCAAAGACTTACCCGAGACTTTGGGTATATACTTACTAATTGTGTTCCCTTGGCAAGAATAAACACCAGAAAACCTTGGAACTGAGCTATCTTATCTACCTGCCATCTGCAGGATAATGGCAACATACCAGGATGCACAACCATGAGGACAGAAGAGAAACATAGCCCTACCAATCTCATCTGAGCCCCTGGATCTAGCTACATATAAACAGTGGCACTTGCCAGCTAAGCCCTCTACCCCCTAGCTTGAGCTTTGTCTCTGAGGCGTTTCTGTCACTTTCAAGTGAAAATATTGGGATTCTAATGTTTCGTGCTTTATTTTTTATAATTTTTTATTTAAATTTTTTTCTTTCCTTTTACATACCACCTTCCCCTTCCCTCCTTTTCTCCTGCTCATGGTTAATGTGTGAGACCAGTTGTATGAGTGTCCTGATTCTCTGCCTGTACCAGCACAGGCATATGACTACTTTAGAACTCCTCTCCTGTCATGTTTACTACGCTTTGATTTTTGAACTGAGTCATGTGATGTACTTTGGCCAAATCAATGGAGCAAAAGCAACAACAGTATGTCTGATCAATCCCTCCAGTAAGGAGTAGGTAGGTTCAAGAGATACTGGAAATAAACAACTCAAAGGTCTTAGGAAGTTTCTAAAACTAACAATATTCACAAGGCTCCTCCCCAAGGTTATGGAGACAGTAAACAGCTGGGGAAAGGAGACCTGACCAGCCCAGCTGCCTGTAAAAGACTCTCTAAACTATCAAGCTGCCTGAAGGTCAGGCAGAGAGCTCCAGGGTTGTATAAGTTGTTACTCGGGCTGGGGAAGGTTTTTCAGTGATATAGCTAACCTTTGAGTCATCTATACCCCTGTAAGTAACTCCTTACCCATACTCCTATAAGTAGCCCCAATAAATTAATTGGTTCACTAAGCTATACTTTGGTGGAATCTTTACTTAGGTCTGTTGTTGGTTATCTATCTGGGGTGATCAAGGTGTTTGTTCATGTCTCTCAAGAAAAAGTCACACAAAATGTCTTCAGAAGCATGCCTGTTTCTGGGAGTAGAAGGATATGCCACCCTCACCCAGCCTAAGTGAACATTTTTTTTTTTTTTTTGGTTTTTTCGAGACAGGGTTTCTCTGTGTAGCTTTGCGCCTTTTTCCTAGAGCTCACTTGGTAGCCCAGGCTGGCCTCGAACTCACAAAGATCCGCATGCCTCTGCCTCCCAAGTGCTGGGATTAAAGGCGTGCGCCACCACGCCCGGCTATAGCATCTTTTTAATTTCTTTTTTTTTTTCTAAGATTTATTTATTTATTATGTATACAGAGGAGGGCGCCAGATCTCATTACAGATGGTTCTGAGCCACCATGTGGTTGCTGGGAATTGAACTCAGGACCTCTGGAAGAGCAGTCAGTGCTCTTAACCTCTGAGCCATCTTTCCAGCCCTAAGTGAACATTTTTTAAATGAATATTTACTGAACACTTCTGCAGGTGAGACATCAAGAAGAATTCATACAAGAAAAATGTTTCTTCCACATTTATTCCAGATGCCTTCTGCACAGAAGCAGGAAAACTCACACAATGGTTTCTCAAACTGTCTTGCAGCTAGACTTCAAAATGTCATTCAGGTTCTATGGTCCCTTGTACCGTGGTTCAAAATGTCAGAATGTCAAATACAGGAAGTAAAAAAATCTATAAATCAAGTGAGATATTATAATAATCCCTTTTTAACTACATGTCCAGAAGAGGTAACGTCAAGCCACCTGGCCACATTGACATTCAGGAGACTTTACAAGGCAGGATGCAAGCACTACAGGTCCAGAAGAGGTAATGTTGTCAATTTACCTGGCCACACCAATACTCAGGAGACTTCACACGGCAGGAGGCACACACTTTTTGTGTGCACACTCAACATTTACCAAAATTTTGGCCAATAAAGCAAGTAACAAACCATCTGAAAATTAACTTTTTAAAGTTGATCAAACAATACATATGATTATTTTATATCATAAGTGAGATTTGATAGTGGTTTGATACCCAAGAATGGTTTAACATTTTTAAAAATCAGTCAATTTAGTCCACAATATTAATAAACTATAAATAGAAACCAATCATCTCAACAGATTCAGGAAAGGTATTTTACAAAAATTTAACATCTATTTCTTTTTTTTTTTTTTAAGAATTCCCAGGACTGGAGAGATGGCTCAGTGGTTAAGAGCATACTACTCTTACAGAGGACTGGAGTTCTGTTCCCAGCACTCACAACATCAGGTGGCTCACAAACACATCTAGCTCCAGAGGATCTGATGCACAAATACACACATAGTTTTTTTTGTTGTTTGTTTGTTTGTTTGTTTGTTTTCGAGACAGGGTTTCTCTATGTAGCTTTGCGCCTTTCCTGGAACTCGCTTTGGAGACCAGGCTGGCCTCGAACTCACAGAGATCCGCCTGCCTCTGCCTC